AAAATGCTTATGTATCTACAGAAAGCAGGCCTGCAGGCAGACATCAGAAAGAGTGAGTTTGAGATAAACAGCATAAAATATCTTGAATTCATCATTGAAGTGAGCAAGAATATATAAATGAATTCAGAGAAGATTAAAACTGTTTTGAAATGAGTGACACCTACTACTGTTAAAGATATACAAAGATTTTTAGACTTTATCAATTTCTATAGACAATTTATCAGGGATTTCTCAAAGATCATGATCTCACTGACAATTCTTACATGCAAGAATGTTTCTTTTTTATGGATGAACAAGGCTGAGAAAGCTTTTAAATGTCTAAAATCAATGTTTATCTCTGCTCCAATTCTGCTTCAATTCAACTCTGACCATGAGACTATATTGAAAATGAACTCCTCAGGTTATGTTTCAGAAGAAGTGCTGCTACAATATAATGAGCAGAGCATTCTACACTCATGTGCCTTCTTCTCTCACAAGCATTCACCTGTGGAATGCAACTATGAAATTCATGATAAAGAGTTATTAGCAATAATTAAGTGTTTAAAGAAATGGAACACTGAGCTACAAAGTGTAAAGAAATTCAAGATTCTCACAGATCATAAGAATCTAGAATACTTCATGACTACACACAGACTAAATGAATGACAGCTATATTGAATGGATATTCTCTATTGATTCAACTTCAGAATTGATTATTAGTCAGAGAAGTTGAACACTGAATTAGACATTCTATCATTAAGAGAGCAGAACATGTCACAGGGTGCTGATGATGAAAGAATCAAGCAAAGACAAGCTCAACTACTTAAGTTTAATGTACTGGCATCTGAAATAAAACCAATAGTGACTGCTGCCAGTGTGAAACCTGAGATGTGTTTTCAAGCTCAGTGAAATAAGACTCACAAAAATAACAAGATTGTGCAGTATCTGAAGCAAATTCTTCATGAGAAAAGATTCAGATTTTCTTCTGAACTCAGCATTAAGACTTTCATCTCTGAGTGCTCTTTAAATGAGAATGAGAAGCTTCTCTTTCAAGATCATAAGTGAGTGTCAGACTTTGAACCTCTTCAAATCAGATTAGTATATGAGACTCATGACTCACCTCTTATCAGTCATCCTGGGTGAGAGCAAATGACAGAAGTTCTAAGACATGAGTTCTACTGATCAGGCTATACTGCTGATGTGAGAAGAATGATCAGAAACTGTCATCTTTGCAGATCAAACACCACATGAAGAGATCAACATCAGAGACTGCTTAAGCCTCTTCTCATTTCTGAATGCATGTAGCAGGAGCTTTTCATGAACTTTATCATAAACTTATCAAGCTCTAAAGAATACATAAACATCATAGTTATAATGAATAGACTGATCAAGGAGATTATATTAAAAGCAGTTAAGAAAACTGATGTGAAGACAGTGGCTAGAGTGTTCCTTCACAACATCATTTCTCAAATGACATTTTTATGATGATAGTATCAGATTGAGGGTCAGCTTTCACAAGCATGTTTCAGACTCAGATGTGTGAGAAATTAGACATTAAGAGATGACTCTTCACAGTCTATCACTCAGAGACTGATGAAGCTACAGAGTGAATGAATCAGATTCTGAAAATCTATCTACACAAGTATATTAGCTTTCAACAGGATGATTGGCATGAATGACTCTCTTTAGCAGAGCTGATCATCAATAATAGAGATGCTGCCTCAACAGATGTGAGCTCATTCTTTTTAACATATCTTTTTTACATTTTCTCTATTGATATAGCTAATGCACTTCTCATTGAAACATCACATAATCTCATTGAGTTTGCAGATGATTATATAAGAAAGACTCATGAAGTATTGAAGTGAGCTCAAGTAAAAATGATGACTGCTCAGCAATCTCAAGAGAAATATGTAAATAGATGAAGAGACTTAGCTTCAAGCTTTCAACCTGGAGATAAGATCTGATTGAGCTTAGAGAATATGAGAACTAATCATCTGTGCAAGAAGCTGAATGTAAAATACAATCAATATACTGTGCTAGAAAAGATAGAATTCTATGCTTACTGACTGAACATCTTATCTGATATTCATAATATCTTTAATGTAAAGCTCCTACATGCTATGATGACAGATTCTCTACCTAGTCAGAGACAAACTCACTGACAGCCACTCACTATAGAGATCTCAAAAGGACTTGAGTTTGAGATTGAGGAAATTCAGAGTGAATGAACCTACCAGAGGAAAAAGCAATATCTTATTAAATGAGTAGATTGAGCTAAGTCTACATGGAATGACATGAGTCTTCTATAAGAAGTGAAGACCTTGAACACTTGAGAGGCCTCTCAGCAGGCAAAATTAGATGTAAAGAGAACTTTAAATAGTCATAAAGACCTGCAACAAAGAGGGAGAAGGAGAGTATTATAAGAGATTGAACTTCTAGATTTGCTCTGACTAGCTAACTCAGCCTAGTCATCATTTGCTCTGGCTGGCTGACTCAGCCTAGTCATCATTCACATGTATACATATTATCATGCTATATGAGCTTACTTAAGCTTGAGTTCTCATCTCATTCTTTTCTTCCCTTTCTCAAGTAATTCATCCTTGTTATATAGTAGAACTAGCCTCTAGTTCTTAGAGCTTAACTCTTTATAATTTAATAGTTAATTATTTTAAATTAAATTCAGAATATAAGATGTTTTTATAAATTTAAAAAAAAGTATAAAGTTTTTAATACTGAATTATTTATAATTCAAAAGGTATTTATATTAACTTATAAAATAATTCTTTAGAAAGCAAATATTAATAATATTTAAATATTTTCAGATAGTTAAATAGTATTAAAAAAATTTTAAAAATATAAAATTTAAAATAAATAGATAAATCTTGAATTAATTTAAAGAATAGTAAAAAAAATTAAGATAATTTATTTATTTTAAGTATTTATAAAATAAAAAAGCAGATTTAGTAATAAAGATTAAAACTAAAACTCAAAAAATAATTCAAAGAATTATATTCTACTTATTTATTAAAAAAAAGATTAAAGAATAATATTTTAATAAATCAATAAAGATTTAAAAAAAAGAAAAAAAAATCACTTAATATAATAATATAGAATGAACTTCATTCAATCTTCTCAATAGTGTAAAACCATAAGTTGAGGTGATTAGTAATTATAATTATTTAAATATGATAATCATAACTATTTAGATAATAATATAGAAACTAACCTCATAATTACCCTGCATATGAATAATATATAAATGTGAAATCATCTAGTAATAGCACTAATAATAGAGAAAAATATGCTAAGAAAAAAGTTATATAAATAAAGTTTTTTCTAAACTCATCTTTTAGAAATTATCTTAGTATTTTATCTAGATAACTTATCTAGCTAACAATCAAATATTTGTTTTACCTGCATCTAAATTGAAGTCTTGATATAATACTAATATTAAAAATTTTATACTATTTTTAAAATAGATTTTTATATAAAAAATCTCTAAAAATTTTTATTTACTTTTATTATAAATCTCTAAAAATATTACTAAGATATTAAAAGCAGTTAGAGGATCTAACAGTTTATAAAAATTGAACTAAAATATAATAACTCTGATTAATAGAAATATAAAATCAAAAGAGCTTATAACAAAAAATTTATTTTTTAATATATTTAAAAAAAACTCAAAACAAATATTTTGAGAAATCATCAATCTCATAAATGAAACATAATGCATTCTGAGTAGAGTTAGAATAGAGTAAAATAAGCAGAGAAAGTAAATGAATGAACTAAATTAACAGATGTATAATTTGATTAAAAAATAAAATATACTATAGTTAGTTATAAACTTCTTGATCTTATAATCTAGATCAGCAGAGATGCAAAAAGTATAATAATTAGTCAAGCTCAATGACTCAAAGCATCCCATCAATAGAAAAGAATTAATATTTGAAAGCTGACTCTTATAAATGAGATGCAAGCTAACTATCAATACTGACTGTTAGGCTAGGCACCGGGGCTAGATTTATCTCCATCAAGTGATCACGCCCCACATGTGATCTAGCGGATCGGTCGTTATCTGGTCACGTGATCACGTGGGCTGTTTATAATCTAAGCAGACTCTAACATCTCTTTTTTCTCATCAATCTTAATATTTTCATTACATAGCAGTTAGCAATGCAGAGAGTTTCCTTTTTATGCAGCTTGCATTTACTCTCTAATATAATACTAAGGTTTTCTTCTATTCTTTCATTCTGGTTTTAGTGAAAAACTTAAGTGCTTCAGTTGAATTAAAACCTGCTAGTTGAGAGTCTGACAACATATCAATCAACTGTTGAAGACAACAGTTCAATCTGACATCAGATGGCCACTGCAGGCTTTCAACCTCTTGAAAGAGGTCAAAAGAACTGATGATATATTCTAACAAGATCAACTGATCAATCATATATTTTAATTGAGAAATTCAAAGAGATAATTCACTCAGACAGTAACTATATTTATAATGAGTTAGCAGTGATCTTTGATGACATCTTTGATGATAAAAAATCATTAAGAGATACAATCACATGACTGAGAATGAAATAAAATAATGCTACTAATCAGACTGCTGTCAAGCAAAGTCAGATTGATGAGTTAATTATTAAATATGATGAACTTAATCACATTTTAATCTGCATGACAGTCAGCAATCAAACTGCAAGTTGAGATGTCATTCTCTCTGAGATTGTCAGAAGATCTGTCAAAATCAATGATCTGAAATATCTCACTGACAGTAAGGAGCTGAAATTTAAACACTGACTCTCTTAGATGAAGAACAAGCTCTAAGAGAATACTGATCACTACTCTATTAAATATATGAGAATTATGTACATTGAGAACTGAACAGATGAGAACACAGCACATCATATTACACTCTGTATAAAAGAGAATCACTCTAAGTAATATTAGACTGCAGGGGAGATATTTGAGCATTTTAAGTCAATATATGAGAATGCTAACAAGCTGTAAAATATCAAAAGTAGTTATCACAAGCTGATTATACATAATGAGAATAATTATCATGAATTTATTATAAGATTTTTATACTTGATAAGTGAGGTCAAGATTGTCAAGAGGAATTACAATATAGACTTCAATGATAAACTATTCTTTGATCTTCAGAGAATGATAGCAGTAGTCAATGCAATTATCAATATATATGCTAAGTTTCAGAAGATCTGTGCTCAGGCAGTTTACATTCTTCAGACAATCAATGACACTTAGAAGTTAAAAAGCTCATGAGAAAATAAAATTAATATTCTCAAGCAAAATATCTAATAGATCTTCAATAGTCAAACTCTCTCTGACACTTCTGCTATAAAATTCTCTATCATGAAGGAAACTATGAGCATCTGTTCAGATATTCAGTGCTACTACTGCGAGAAGAAAGATCATATTGCAAAAAACTGTATTATGAAACAGAAATCTCAATAGTTGATCATTAAACTTATAGAGAATGATGCTTCTGAGTCTTTAACAGATTTAGAAAACAAGTGAGTCAAAGAGAAGACTTCATCTCAGATAGTTCAATAGTCTGTAAGAGATTTGATATAAAGAACTTGATTGAAGGAAAAAGTTTTAATATATCAATCAAGTTAGTTTATAACAAAATTGTCACTTCTACAAATTCTCTTACTGATAGTGAAGTGAATGATGTGAATTTTATTAATATCTGATATGTCATAGAATTGATGAGATTCTTCAATAAAAAGTTTCAAGAACTCTCATTCAAATACTGTATAAAGGAATATAATAATATTTTTGATGAGATGATAGATTGCACATTAACTCTAAATCTCTGAGTAAATGACTAAAGATTTCAAAATGTTCCTCTGATGATAATAGACCTAGATCAGCATCATGTCATCTTGAGATGAAAGTGATTGACAGCACAGAATATATAACTTAATGTTAAAAATTAATGTCTGATTTAACTGAGTGAACAGTTTATTCTTGAACAGGTAACAGAGCTGATTTTGAAGATAGTAACTCAGTCAGTACTGAAATGCTCAGATTATAAGTTTAAGTATCAGACAGATATGAAATGAAGAGAGATCAAACTGAACAAAGAAATGAAATAGAAGTATCAGACTCAGCTCTGCAGATTAAAAGAGATCAGCTTAGTTATGATATCTAAGATAAGGCAGAGACTGACTTGAAAGAAGACAGCATCATAAATAATAAATATGAACTTTATTAAGTCTGTTTTTTTTATAATTATATGAAGAACAAGAACTCAATAGTCTTCATAACTAGTATATATGAAATTGATAAACAGCTTGAGAAGAAGTAAAGTTTAGTGAGAGCTGAGAATAAGTTTGATGAGAAGCTGATCTGCAACTTATCAGAATGATTGAAAGATCAGAAGAACTGTTTCTCAAAGAAAGTATTAAATGAATTATCTTTTCTACAAAAGAATGTTAATTTTAAAATAGAGCTTCAGTCTAACATTAATTTTATTCAGAATATTGAACATATATTTCTATACAAGATAAATTTAGATACATTAAAGGCAGTGAAGATCTATCTCAAGTTCAATCTAGTAAAGGACTTTGTTATCTCAAGTTCAGTTCTCTACATCTACTTAATTCTGATTGTCTGTAGTGGGAAGAAGTTATGATTTTATGTTAATTTTTGTAAACTGAATGCTATAATCAAATGAGATCAGTATTTCTTGCCTTTAATAGATAAACTGATAGACTAACTTAATAAAGTAAAATATTTTATAAAACTAAACATTTAGCAGAAATTTTATTGCATCTGAATGAACTCTGAGTCTGAGAATCTGACTATCTTTAGAACCTGCTATAAGATCTATAAATATCAGATGATTCTCTTCGACCTTATAAATGCTTCTGCCTACTTCTAATAGTTTATTAATAGTATCTTCTTTGACTACCTGGATAAGTTTATAACAGTATTGATCTTCTAATCTATAGCAAGAATCTGAAGGAGTACAAACAGCAGGTAAATTCAATACTATATCAACTAAAGACAGCTAGTTTGCAAGTTAGTATTTAGAAATGTGAGTTCACAGTCTAGAGAACAAAATATCTATAGTTTATCATCAGTATAGAAGAGATTGAGACAAACTCAGAGAAGGTAGCTATTATTGTAAAATAACAGATTCTCATCATAGTTAAAGAAGTTTAGTCATTTCTAGAATTTAACAATTTCTACTGATGATTTATAAGAAACTACAGCTGAATCACAAAATCATTGTATCAGTTGATAAAGAAGACTACTTCATTTATATAAACATAAGAATGTAAATCAGTCTTTGAAAAACTAAAGAGGCAGCTGATAAAGGTCTTAATACTGCATTACTATAACTCTGAGCAGAAGACTCATATTGAGACTAATATTTCTGATAGAGTAGTGATTGAGATACTAAGTCAAAGATTTGAAAATAATCTTTGACACTCAGTAGTCTTCTATTCAAAGTCAATAAATGATGCAGAGCTTAATTATAAAGTTCATGATAAGAAAATGCTAACAGTGATTCAAATCTTACAAAAATAACAGACAAAGCTTGAAAAACTATAATGAGAGAAACAATTCAAGATTTTCACTGATCATCATACACTGAAATACTTTATGACTATCAAGAAGCTGAATGCATGTCAAGTCTGCTAAGTAGAGTTTCTTTCCTGTTTCTACTTTGAGATCAAGTATTAATTAGACAAGGTCAATCTGCTAACAGATACACTGAATAGATCTGAGCAGATTAGAAGACAACAGAACAGCTGTATGCAGATTTTCTTACAATCAAAGACTCTTAATTTCTAGATCACTTCTTCTATGAATATTGTTAGCATCAACTCCTTAGAGAAAGAGATCATTGCTGAATGTAAAGTATCTTTAAATAAGATAATCATCTCAATTGAGCTTCTGCAGCAGCAGGCAGATGATGAGAGTAGTCTCTATATAATGAAAGACAATATGCTATAGTACAATGAAAGACTAGTGATGTCTATTTAGAAAAAGAAAACTCTAATAACTGAGCTACTGCAGAAAATTCATAATCAAGCTTTAATAGTATGTTCTGAAGAATAAAAGACTCTGACTCTAATACAATCACACTATTGATGAATCATCTAGCAAACAGATATTCAATATTATATTCAGAACTGTTATGTGTGCTGAATCAGTAAAATTTCAAGAAATAAGACTTTTGATTTGCTAAAGTCATTATCAATATCAGAATGAGCATGACAGCATATCATAATAAACTTTATAAATATGCTGAAAAGTAAAACAGATTATGATATCATCTTGATTATAGTATATCAGCTAAGTAAGAAGTCAATCTTCATTTTTATCATCTGAAAAGTTACAGCTCAAGAGCTGATCTGACTATTTATTCAATTTTACTATTCATATAATAAGGTACTTGACTCAATATCTATGACTGAAATTCTCAATTTGTATCAAGCTTTTTAGATGAGTTTAAATAGATTCTGAATATAAAATTGAAACTCTTAACAATATATTATATATAAACTGATAGATAGACAGAAGTGATAAATCAATATATTGTTATCTGTCTTTGCCTCTATGTTAGTTACTATCAATATAACTGAGATAAATGACTGCTCATTATAGATTATGCCTCTACAGCTATCTCAAATGCTTTTACAGAGATCTTTCTCTTTCTTACAGTAAATGAATATGAACTCTGAATGTTATTTGGCTGACAATCACTAATAGAGAAATTGAACATGAATGAGAAAAAAAATCAAGAAGCAGCAAGAAGCTTCATTCATTATATGAGAGAGATCTGAAATCAGACAGGTAAAGATATAAAAATAGCACAGAAACAGATAAAGAAGCAGACTGATAAGCATTATCAAGAGTCTAACTTTATAGTAGGAGATTTTGTTTATCTAATTTTGAAATTATATAAGATGAATTGATCAATAGAGCAAAACATCAGCTTCTTTAGAATTCTGAAAAAGATGAGCAATGTCTAGAAACTGAACCTCTCTGCAATAATAAAGATTCATTCAATCTTCTTCTCAGATAAATTATATAAAGACTTCAAAGACTCTCTATCTGGCCACACTGTCAGATCATTAGATCTAATTGAAATAGACAGTGTAAAGGGTTAAGCTCTAAGAACTAGAGGCTAGTCCTTCTATATAACAAGGACAAAGTGCTTAAGAAAGAGAAGAAAAGAATGAGATGAAAACTCAAGCTTAAGCAAGCTCACATAGCATGATCACATGTGCACATATGAATGATGACTAGGCTGAGTCAGCCAGTCAGAGCAAATCTAGAAGTTCAATCTCTTATAATACTCTTCTTCTCCCTCTTTGTTGCAGGTCTTTACAACTATTTAAAGCCCTCTTTACATCTAATTTTGCCTGCTGAGAGGCCTCTCAAGTGTTCAAGGTCTTCACTTCTTATAGAAGACTCATGTCATTCCATGTAGACTTAGCTCAATCTACTCATTTAATAAGATATTGCTTTTTCCTCTGGTAGGTTCATTCACTCTGAATTTCCTCAATCTCAAACTCAAGTCCTTTTGAGATCTCTATAGTGAGTGGCTGTCAGTGAGTTTGTCTCTGACTAGGTAGAGAATCTGTCATCATAGCATGTAGGAGCTTTACATTAAAGATATTATGAATATCAGATAAGATGTTCAGTCAGTAAGCATAGAATTCTATCTTTTCTAGCACAGTATATTGATTGTATTTTACATTCAGCTTCTTGCACAGATGATTAGTTCTCATATTCTCTAAGCTCAATCAGATCTTATCTCCAGGTTGAAAGCTTGAAGCTAAGTCTCTTCATCTATTTACATATTTCTCTTGAGATTGCTGAGCAGTCATCATTTTTACTTGAGCTCACTTCAATACTTCATGAGTCTTTCTTATATAATCATCTGCAAACTCAATGAGATTATGTGATGTTTCAATGAGAAGTGCATTAGCTATATCAATAGAGAAAATGTAAAAAAGATATGTTAAAAAGAATGAGCTCACATCTGTTGAGGCAGCATCTCTATTATTGATGATCAGCTCTGCTAAAGAGAGTCATTCATGCCAATCATCCTGTTGAAAGCTAATATACTTGTGTAGATAGATTTTCAGAATCTGATTCATTCACTCTGTAGCTTCATCAGTCTCTGAGTGATAGACTGTGAAGAGTCATCTCTTAATGTCTAATTTCTCACACATCTGAGTCTGAAACATGCTTGTGAAAGCTGACCCTCAATCTGATACTATCATCATAAAAATGTCATTTGAGAAATGATGTTGTGAAGGAACACTCTAGCCACTGTCTTCACATCAGTTTTCTTAACTGCTTTTAATATAATCTCCTTGATCAGTCTATTCATTATAACTATGATGTTTATGTATTCTTTAGAGCTTGATAAGTTTATGATAAAGTTCATGAAAAGCTCCTGCTACATGCATTCAGAAATGAGA